CTTCACTGTCTGGCCAAAGGAGAAAACACGCTCACTTAAGAGACCTGATTAGCAGCTTTCTGTCATCAGCAACTTTTTCACTCCATCTGCCCGCTCCGTCACTCTCCGCCCTCAGCCAGTCTCTGTTCCCTCTCCACCCGGTCAGGGCCAGCCTATCTGTTCTGCCAAGCAGCTCTATGTTGCTGTATTTTTTTATAGGTGTACAGACTCTTCCCGGTTCATTGCTTCGTTTATCCGGCCAGTAATTTGATTGCCTCGAGAAATATCTATTGCGTGTTCCTTATCTCTCAATGTCATGCCAGCAGTCTGGCAGCGAATAACTAGGCAGAATCGCCCGAAACAATGGCGGAGAAAGAGGGAGAAACAGCAGAAATTGCTGACTATTGTGAACGAACCGAGCGAAAGGGAGAGGTGCGTTCAGAGAGCAGAGCATTCGGAGGAGATGAGGGAGGAAGAAGAGGAGGAGGAGGAGGAATGGGGGAAAAGAAAGTATAAATATGACAGGGCTAGTTTGTACGGGACAAATTCCAACGCATGAGTTAACATGCAGACGTGAAAACACAAATACGCCAAATGCAATTTCTTTCTATCCGAAGAACAGATTCGATCAGCAAACCTCCAACAGACCCAAGCAACAATCAATGAGCTATGCGTTTCGTAACCAAGACTTTCAGCGAAATTGACCAATATGCAAAGGTTGCGGCGCATGATAGGATAATTGACAATCTCAAGAACTCGTTGGCTAGGAAAACTTGGTGCGAGCCAGAGACTCTAGGGCTAAATTGCTTAACTGAACTAAGCCAAAGATCCGCCTTGTGACCCACTGGTATCCGTAGGCTACAAAGTAGATGCTACATTCATCTCATTGTGGGCAAATTTAAATACCCATCCTGAAATAGCCTTTTCGACTTAAGGTGACTAAGTTCTGATTTAAAAATCAATGATAATTTCGAAGTCTAATTACAGTGTAAACATGCGATAAAAGTCTTAGGCAATGTCCTCATCGAGAATCCCAAAATAGGAAATTTGGTAGACGTCCTAATTGCCTTTGAAGTCACATCACATGCCATTACCATTCCTTAAATCATGTTATGAGCTCGAAGATAGGAAGACCAAGATGGTCTAGTTTATGGTATGGTCGCAGTCTCTAGGAGTGAGCTGACCTCATTTTTGCAATTTGGTCGGGCTTTCAGGGAGACGTACCTCGTCCCAAGTCCTCTGCTCTAGTAGTTAACATAATTATCAGCGCCGGACAGTG